AGATTTCAGTAAAATAATTACACTGTATCAAAAAATTATCAATATCAATAAAAAGAAATTAACACAATTTTGTCTACTCTTATATGCAACTAGGTTCTCATATATTATACAAGATTTTTAATGATCTAAGTTTGCAGAAATTCATAATCAAATTTAGCTTATCCAAATTTAGCTTCGCATTTGCTAGGACTGCATTTATATTTAGATAAAATTAGAATATATTATATATATATATATAAATATTTTATATTTCTATACTTACAATCTCTCTTTGTTTGCGCTAATTTGCTTCGACAATTTCAGAAAAATTTCTAATTGTAAGCTTTGATAACGTGCGGGCAGCAGAAATTGATCATCCTTCGAGATGCGAGTACGCGCATGGACGTTAACATGCGGCGAGAGCAACGACGGCACGGGGGACCAATGGCATCAGCTAACTCCTCGTAACGACGCGTGTAGTGGAAACGCGTGTACGCAAATGGACAAATACAAAATACACGGGCGAGTGTAAACGAGCTATCCCGCGATTCGCTGAGAGCTACGGCCCGTGCTGCGCACTGATCTAAAAGCCGAATAAGCACCCGCCGGCTAATGAAACAGCTAATCATACGTGCACCGCTGCTGGTATCATGTTTTATTACGCGCATATATATGTATATCCACACAAGCGTGAGCGTATCGAGCGGTGCCTTTGGGAAATGTTACGCGCGGCGTAAAAATAAGACCTTTTATCGAATGCCATTTATTTTATCAACCCTCCGATATTTTGCATCAAAATATTAGGTCGTATTCGCAAAAAGTATCTCGTACCCTAATCGCGTTATCTCAAGGTCGGTGCCTGATACACGGACATATTCTTACCGCATGCGTCGCATCATATCCGCAATTCTTAGGAGAGGAAGTTGCGTGGGGAGAGTGCGAGCGCGCGCGCCAACAGAATTTGCATAATATTATACAATAATAACGTGCAACGCTATAATGGAAGCGCACGCACGCTTTTATTATAGCGTATCGTATGCGGGGAAGAGAGAGAGAAAGAGAAAAATTGTACGACGCGCTTTCTCGTCCGCGCGTAATTAGCATAAAACTCCCGACCCCGGACGACATTATCGCCTTCGCCGGGTCGCGCTTATCGGCTTCGCGAATCGCGAATCGCATCGCCAACAATTGCCAACAAGCGCCGAGACACAAGTCACGTGTAATATGTAATTCCCGGACCATTCCGGGGTGAACTGTGACGTTATTGAAACGCGACTGATTACGCGATGGAATATTCACGATCTCGCAGCTGTGTACATTTCTGTTGCCTGTTACGTTATATGCACGCGCGTACACATGCTGGATATTTCAACGCGGAATTTGTACACAGCGTCGCCGTTTGGTTCCCTCTCTTAATCAAACAGCAGATACAACGCCGGCAGAGATCCTCTCTCGCTAACGTCATCGCGACTATTGGAATATTCCTCGCGCCGGCTTCGCAAAGTCGTCCTCACCCCCAATTCGATGTACGGGTACAGTCGATACTCGAGACAATTTCTGTCACGCGCCCGGCCGATTGGTTGTGCTTCGTTGGAGAGACGCGTGCTCGCGATTCACCGGAGTAAATTTCGCTGATCCCGGTTGAATCCTTTCTCTCTCTCTCTCTCTCTCTCTCTCTCTCTCTCTCTCTCTCTCTCTCTCTCTGTCTCTCTCAAAGTCCTTTTTCTTCGCGACACGGGGAAGGCGGAGACGCGCTCACGCGCGTCGAACAAATCCGAGGGTAAAAAGGAAAGAGGCCAAAGTGGCGGGGAGAACGAGGGGGATCAAACTTTGCGCTCTCTCCGTCTCTCTCTCTCTCTCTTTTATTCTCTCCTGTCTCGCGGAGCGGGATTCGTCTTATCTATGTAACCATTCGGCACAGTATCCTACTTTACTCCTCCGCGTACGAAACTCCCCCGTTTTGACAGCGAGGCGCGCGGGAAACTCGAATCTCCGGCTGGGAAATCCTCCGCGTTTCGTCATAGTCACCCAATCCTAGCAACGTGTGTGAATGCGCGCGAGGGATAAAATATGCTCGACTAACCCACCTACGCTTACGAACGTTATCCGCGTACGCGCGGGTGTTACTGGAATATTTACGATATTTCGGAATTGCGGAGTATCGGCTTCTTGCGCGAGAAATATCCGGTAACGTCAAATACTTTTTGGGGGAAATATTATCGAGAAACGAGCATTTTGTAGTTTTAAGGAAATTGTCGTGAAACAGACGGAGAGAACGATATCCCTTCTCTATGATTTGCGACATGATATTTCGTATTAAGTGAATGAAAATATATGTCGAAGTGTCCCTTATACACGTTCAATTTTAAGCATCACCGAAGCAATATTTCGGGTACAATTTATTTCAATGGCATCAATATTTCGAGGGATTTGGCTTCTCCAGAATATTCCATATTTCATTTCATCGTTTTATATTTTTCAATATTGCCACGCGTATTTAGGGAAGGTATTTATCCGCGTGAAATTTTTATTTACGATATTCGCGCGAGAAACGAGCGGGGAAACCCTATGGGCGCCCTATGAAATTTCGAGCATTTTCGGAGGGGACGGCGTTACTTCCGTCTTGGCAGACACGAAAGCCGGAAGTGGATATTGCCTCTACCCTCGATTCGCCGCGCTTACTAAATTAGTACCGTCTCCATTCCCGGAGCTCACCGCGGTGCGCGACCTGCTCCTTATCTGTAACCACCATGCCGCCACCACGGACCGGTATCCAGTATATCATCCGACCGGCACCCTCCATGGACTTTGTGCTCGCTTCCTCTTCCTCCCCTTTCCACCCTCCCCCCCCTTCACTCACGCATATCGGCGTGCATACAACCAGCTACGGATTCGATTGCGACGTACTAATGCGCTGGTTGGGCAGGTCTGCTCGGAACATATGCCTCGGTATTAATTTCCCTATAGTCTGCCAATATGCGCCTTTTGACAAGCGTATTCGTTGCGACGTTGCAGGCAAACCGCGCAAATATCTATTAATCTTTCGAGCGAAATGTGTACTTCTCCTATATTTTTATAGCGATATAATTTACAAAGATTGGAAAGAATCATTGTATTCACGTTATTCTTCATAAATTTTACGACTGGCTGTAAAGGCGATTTTTGTTTAGCGAAAATGTCGAGGAAACTCATATTCTTTATATCGCGATCTTTTCATTTATAATAATACATTTTAATATTTTATTGTAATTTATATATCAATTGCTATTTATAAACTGCTAGTTATAAATTATTATATTAAAATTTTCTTTATACAATAGGCGAGAGAATCATTCGAAATTAATTAGAAATAGCTTCTTCCTTTATTCTTCTCCCGAAGCTTGATTCGTCGAAGTTTTAAAACATTACAAAAGTTTTATTTCGACGAATACGTCGGTGCACTTAGTATGTTTAACATTTTATGCGCAAGTAAGCGCACGACGGACTGCAATACGTAAAATACTGCATGAAGAATGTCATAAAGGAAAACTATGAAAACAGTTTTCACGACGATATAAAATCATTAATAAGATCCTTATAAAAGTTTACGTCCATCTCGTTAAATCTCAGCGTCAATTCTAAAGCGCGCAACGTAAGCCAGCTTCTTCGAACAATCGGAATATTACAAGCGCGCTAAAGTTGTTTCTCGTGTTGGCTGTATACAAGTTTCTACTTATGTCGATAGATATATACATACGACGTGTCAGAAGCGGCATAATTCTTCTTCATTGCAAACTTTTTACAAGAAAGATTTAGCCTCTTTATCAAAGATTTGTTGTAAATCACTGTTCGAGTTTATATAAATAATTGCTTGCAATTTTTCAATTTTCAAGGATAAATGTCAATGTCGGAGATGTAATAATTTTTCCAATATATATGTACGATCCTCGAGCGGATGATTAATGCGGTTCTTGAAACATATGGATTTTATGGAAAGAGGATTAGGTCGTATTAATTCTTTTCGCGTCATTGAATTTTCTCAACGGGAGACGAGTGAGAGATTTTCGCTCCGTCTCTTTCTCTCGAGATTTTTATAAACAACAGAAATAAGTATATATTCAAATGACGCATTACGAATACACGTCTCCGCGATCGGGAGTAAAATCTCAGGAAAGAACATTTCATATCCGGCTCGAGGAAAATTGCGCGCAACGTTACCATTCTTATGTAGACGCGAGTTGACGTATGCGTCGATGTAAAGCCACAGAAATGTCATTTTAAAAATGTGGAAAACTGAACGAATAAGAAAGGAACGGGGATAAAGGCACAACGCGCAGAGGCCGCACACATGTGTTGGACGCGGAAGGACGCGAGGCTGTGAAAAGCGGCGAGCGCGACAGTTGATAGAAACGTTTCAAGAGACACAATGACATTTGCCGTACGTGGGACCGTTGAAAAGGTCGTCGAAAGAAATAGCGCAGATCGAACGCGAGTAGCCGGAATAGCCATTAAAAGAGGAGACGAGGACCAACGCGGTTGGTGAAAGGCCCGACTGGGAAAAGCGAGAGGATCCGAAGGAACTATACGCGCTTGATTTCTGGTTAATAAAACGTTATACGAACATAAAACGATACAGTGATGTATACGTCGCGAGATATAAAGTACAATCGAGGCGAGGCGGGAAGATGGTAGAGAGAAAGCCACTATGGGGCTACGTGTTGCGGTGGCGAGAGACACGGAGCTATAGATGGGGGTGGCCGGGGCCTCAGAAATATACGGCAGCGAGAAGGAGATAAAACGCGCGCGCGCGCGCGAGCGCGCGAAAGAGAGAGAGAGAGAGAGGGAGATGCCTCTCTTCGCACACACGCGCGCGCGTAAGGTATACGCGTAAAGAGCGACGCGTGTTGTCTCATGGTCACGCGTGTGCGAGGTACGTAATGGAGAGAGTAAAGAGGGCGCAGTCGCGAAGCCGGAGCCACCCTCGTGACCCCCGTCAGGCAGCGCCGGCGTCGGCGGCGGTGGCGGTGGCTGCAGCGTCGGCGTCGTCAACCACCTTCCCGAGGAGGCAGCGAGTTCGACTCGTGTCGTGTTACGGGCCGCACACGGGCCGCCGTTCGTCGATCGTTGCTCTCGTAGACGACTATTTTCGTTGAGACCGGGACCAGCGACGAGGGCGCGCACAGTTTTCACTCTCGCTCCGTCGTCTGACGTTTCACTCGTCGAGTCGTCTCGCGACGCGAACGTACGAATATAACTGCGAATATAACTGCGAATATAGCCGCGAATCATTCATTCGGGACTTAAAAATCTCGAGTCGACACAGTGCCGAGAAGTACCTATATGTGATTCGTCTCTCGAAGGGGTTGCGAAGGAGAGAGCGAAGAGGAGAAACGAATTAGGGACCGTTGGTCGACGGGGGTGGAGGATGATCCGAGTGAGAAAGCAAACTTGAAGACTCTATCCGAGGGAAACGATATAAACCCCGATGCCCCGCTGCTGAAACCTGTGATTTATACGCCGCGATTTCAAGTTTCGTTCGTGATCCGCGGGAAAAAGAGAAGAAGAGAGAGTGTGGCGTAGGTGTACGCGCGTGTTGTGTGTGTGAACGTGTATATTTTCCACTATGACCAGTCACGAGTGAGGCTCCGATACCCGACATCCATTCTCGCGGAATCACACGAACACGTAAGTGCTGATTACCTTTCGTTCTCCGAGTCTTTATATAGCGTGCTCTTTATTACCTCGGTAAACCGGCTCGAAAGGTGGCCAAAGCGGAATGAGTTCTGTCGTTCGCAAGAGTCCGCGTATAATTGCTCGAGTCGGAGACTTATCCGTTTGCCGAGCGATGGATAATTTTATCAGCTGAAAACCTTGCCGGCATCTCTCGCTAATTTTCCTCTAAATTATTCAAGTACATTCGCGCAACAATCGTCCTGAAAACGAAAATCGAGTAGTAAATTAAGTCAAGGATGACATATTTTGAATTATCGTAAAAGAAGCATTTCAAACTTTGCGTTTATTAATTCATCGTCTTAAGCGCGTTTTCAGACAGGAAATTAAATAATTTATGACGCTGAGGTAATAAATTTTATTTTTTTACAGGGGCAGAGTTTTTAAAAATATTTTCATTGTCGTGAGAAACGGAATATCGTATTTGGCATTTTGCCGATACTCGACGTCATTTTTTTAATCTGTCCTAGTTGGATCAGTTCGGGCATCGAATGTAACAGTTTCGATCGAATTTTAAATTGCTCATTATAAAATCATGTCGTTGACAAGCAACAATGATTACTGTTATTTGATGCAATTAATAAACACATAAACGCTACGTCAAAATTCCGATACTTTACAGGAAAAAGTCAATTTTTGATGCATTATTATAAGACATAAATTTAATGCCATTTTCTTTCCCTCTTCCTTCTCGAATATTTAGTATACTTAGCAGCTTAGATTAAAACGAGAAAAATTAAGAAAATTAAGAACATTTTAAGTCCGAGGATTAAAATATTTTATAAATAATAATTGTATCTCCCCTCTTTTCTTCATCAAAAGCCAAAACAATCAAGAGCCTTGTGAAAATGGTTACTCTGCTTTCTCGATATTCTACGTTTGTCTGCGCATTTTCACCGTCTAAACATAGAGAAAAAAAATGGTGATTTTGAATATATAATTTACTTTTTTTATTTTATTAAGATTCACAAATGTAAGACAGCAAATTTCCGCTCTGTTTCACAAAAATATAAGTTTGATAATTTTCCGACTTTTCCGTCTTGAATATTGCGGAATGTTAAAATTGCCATTTGTTACAATTGAGTTTAAGCTTCTCTAGTCTTAATTCACTGCTTTTCTCGAACGCTGCATCCAATTTATACTGCTCTTCAGTGAAATCAAAATTCTGTGGAGGAACTTAATTTGAAACTCTAAATTATGTATATTTCAGAAATATGAATTATAAATCCCTCACAAATCGCGCGCACATTTGTATACATATTTAAATTGAAATAACTATTACGCGTCAGAGTGCGATAAACGTATCACATGTCGCTGGAAAGTCGCTATTACATATCGATCTTTCAACGATATTAATCGAATAAAAGTGTAGTCGTTTGAAGATAACTTTGCTTGTTTTTTTCACCAGACGCGTAGATCGGTTGCGTAGTAGTTGCCCTATGATTTTCCGAGCTCCGGAAGTTGGTTGAATCGTCTAATTGGCAACCAGGCATCGCTTTGATCCGGAAATTGCAATCTCCGTTGTCTCGAGAGCGGCTAAATTGTTCTCGACGTTGTCTATTTGCGCGGCGTATTATCGTTAAACGAAACAATTGGTCCCGCGTGTTGGGATCAAGGGCCCGTCTCTCTCTCTCTCTCTCTCGGAAGCGTTTAAATAAATTTTAAACTCTTTAAACGGTCTCCCCTAACGGAAGAAAAATGATTACGAATCTCCGCGTTAAACCCACGTGGCGGCAGCCCGAGCATGCACAAGGAATACATTAATGCGAGATGCATCGCGCGCTCTCTTCCGCTCTCTTCCGCTCTTCCCCGCTCTTCCCCGCTCTTCCTCGCTCTCCCCGATCTTTCCTCCGGTTCTCTCCGCTCTTGCTACACCCGCGAACGCAAAACTAACATCTGCGTTATCCCCGAGAAACGCAAAATCGCTTAAGCGTGTCTTAAGCGGGAAGGCGAAACTTTCGCTATATCCGTCTGACAGTTATCCGATACATTACACGGCGGGGTACCCGATATATTATGCTCCGTTACATACATATCCACTGTACTTGGACTATACTGCCCCGACGGATAATTTTATTGAAGCACGCGAATTTTCGCTCCCCGGCGCGCGAATATCGCGCTCTTTCTTTCGACGGCCGGAAACCGATATCCAAATCGCGCCGGGCGAATGAAATCGGAGCCGATATGACGTAATGATATTATATTATGCGCCATAAATTTTACGCTTTAAAGAGAGAGGGAGGGTGCGGTAACTCCTGAACCATCGACCCATGTGCCAGACGCGCGTTGGCCTCTCGCACGGGCTTTCATCCTATGCGCGTTACACGCACATACTCTAATGTACGCGCGTTGCGGCTGCATCTGCCAGGTCTCCGCGATGTACCGAATTCGCAAACACGCTCCGCTCCACGGGCTAATGTTAAAATTAATCGACGTTTCCGTCGACGGCGATCTTCCCGCGACGTGGGATTTAACTCTTTCGTCGAATTAACGTAAAGTATAAAAACATGGTGTAGGAATAAACCGTATCGCGAGCGATAATGGTAAATTTTTTATTTTTAATATTTTTTTGCAACATCTTTTGTATCGCGGTTCCTCTCAAATGCGCGAGAAACGAAAAAGAAGACGAAAATTCTAAAGAACCTTCTTCGATTACGGTGATAATTGAAGCGAATATTTTTGCTCGATTCTTTGGCTTTATTTCATTACTTAATCATTTTGTTTAACATCTCCGTTCCCTCACTCAGGAAAGCTCGGAAAAGTAGCAGCGTAAATGTTGTACATTTTGATTGACTATTTTACGTCGACGTGCAGTCGGATTACAGACTTTGAACTTTGCAAGTTTTTGCATTATAGCACAAAGCTTCTGTAAAAAATAGGTGATGACTATATATTTGCCCTGCAAGCACGGCAAGCTGGTCGTCGTGTATACGCTACCGGGCAATCTACTTCGCAAGTTTTCCGAGAGAAAATTTTGCAGCGAAGCTATGCAATAGGCTGGAAAATTTGACCTAGCAAATTTGAAGCAACATCGTTTCCGAAAGCGACATACTCATTATGTGCTCGCTATGTTTATCGGTATTTTAAGAATGTACACTCAAAATAATCATAAATAATAACAAATTATTATAATTTATATATTCCAACTCTCTCGAATATATTGAAACATGCTATTTTTCAATAATTTAAGCTAATCGAATATATAAAGAATATATATTCGATTAATGTATTATTAATATATTATTATAAATTTGAGAAAAAAAACATGTAGTTCGAATTTAGTTATATTTGCTTTTGAAGTAACTGTAGTGAAGAACAATGAGAATTGACGATATCATTGCATTCCACGAGCATTCTCGTTCGTCGACGTCAGGGAGTCATGGTTAGATAGAAACGACGTCTGCAGGTGCCAGGCAAACTATTGTATTCTATAATCGCTACAAAAATGAATTAAAAGAACTTGACATTCTGTTGAATTTGTGACGTAATAAAAAAATAAGAATAAGAATTATATAAAAAGAATGTTTGATTTTTTATTTTGTTCTTTTCTGCTTTTGATAATCTCAGTTTATCTTCCTCACACAAGCGATTAAATAGATTTAATCTCACTTTTTCACATGGGACGCAAAAAGTGTTGATTATATAATTAAATTAACTATTTATTTAGTGTAAAACACTCGTGAAATTTACTAAGAAAAAGAATTTTTATAAAATATAAATTAGTATAATAAACATATAAATGTTACTATTCTTTTTATATATAAATTACTGTCAAGATATAAATTACTCTTTTAATTTATCTTTACAGGAGCATTATTGAGCATTAAGACTGCAATGAATTAAGAATTCTATGTCGCTATAAAATTGCATTGTAATTTTCCAAAGGCTTCTGCGAACGATACTTAAAACTCGTAAACGTAGCAATCTCTCGGTAATCCGTTTGCACCTGTCAGTGCGACTGACGTCGCTTTCGTTCTGGAGACATTTAGAGATTATTTAATTTTGCGCAGCGGAATGACGTCGAGTTGGAAGGAAATTTTTCAAATATATTATTTTGCGCTTTTATACATATCTGTTTTCGTCAAAGATTCTCGAGCTGGAAATGCGAGTCTTGATTTACGATTAATTACGGTGAGATATTTTTAATATTTATAGATTAATATTCGATGCGCGAACCGAGAGTAAGGTGAGAAAGCAGTTCGCGATGATGGATGAAATGCGACGTAAATCTTATTTGCTTCTATCTATGTCCATATTGTAACGTCTCCCTGCCAATATTGTTCTATTCCGTATGCAACTTTTAACAGCAGAGATGTGTCGCTGTCATGCAGGCTTTCCTTTCTTCCGCATATATATGCGCACCTCCCGCGCATGCATCGCAGATTTGCAAAGAGGTGACGTATCACAGACTTATATAAGTGATAGGTGTGACTCCTTTCGCGGACGACTGCGAATATCGAAATGGTGTAACGCGCATTCAGTCAAGTCGCTACTTTCGACGTCCTGAGATTTCGCTTCGTCACAAGGCCGTCAAATGTCATTCTCTCATAAAAGACGAATGCACGTCGCAAAGTGTGTCGGAACTTTCGACGCTAATACACAAGTTTTTCACTCGTATCTCTTTCATTCGTAAAAAGACTCGCATTTTCGAAACGCCTTTACAATGCGAAAACAAATGTCACCTCCATTTGACGCTTTGATCGATCAACCGTTCTATCTTTAAGGTCAGCGCGCTTAGAGCATTGATGCTTTGATGACAGATTAAAAGGAATATTATGTTTGGTAATATATATATATATATATATATATATATATATATATATATATATTGTGCAAATAGAAAATGCAGAATTCAAGTCAGTTATTATTTTAAAAAATAGAGTGCTATGATATTTTTTATTTCCTTCAACAAATGTCACTTAAGAATGAAAGATGAATTGAACGTGTATTATTCA